AGTGGATTGCCTGAGCCTGCGGGTTCGAGACCCGCCTGGGCAACTTGGCAAGACCTCATCTCTACAATAAATCAAAAAATTAGCCAGGCGTGGTAGTGTCTGCTTATAGTTCCAGCTACTCAGAAGGCTGAGGCGGAAGGATTGCCGGAGCCCAGCAGGTCGAGGTTGCGGTGGCCGGGAGCGGCCACTGCACTCCAGTCTGGGCAACAGAGTGAGACTCCAACTCAAAAAAAAAAAAAAAAAAAAAAAAATTGAGTGCTGTCAAAAGTATTGGGAAGAAAGCTTTAAAATGGATGTTGATAAGTATTTGTTTGAATTATGGGACTACCATATATGCCCAAATATGAATCAAGTTCTTTCCTTTAAAAATTATGCTTAGAGAAGAGAGAGTTGCTGTATTAAAATTTAGATCCTTACGAAGTTGTTCATGTTACTGTTTGGGGAAGATATAGTCTGAAATGTCTGGTCAGTGCTTAATTTAGATGTGTTAGAATGAAAGTTCCACAGACCAGGGACCTTGTCTATTTTGTTCACTATTGTATATCTAGCACTTAGAAGTGTATCTGGCACAGGATAGACACTGAACATAGTAGTTGAAGGAATAAATGAATTTTTACATGGAGCAAAAAGGCAACAAGATTAACAAATTTAGTTATTCCTAGAAGACCTTACAGTTGTAAGTGTTGAATTATGCAAGAAAATCTTTTAAAGATCATTTTTAAAAAGCAGTCTAGTAAATGATTGTATTGTGGAGATAAAGGATGCGTTGTTGTTTTTTTTTTTTTTAATTTATGGTAGAGATGAGGTCTCACCCAGGCTGGTCTCAAACTTGTGGGCTCAGACAATCCTCTCACCTTGGCCTCCCAAAGTGCTGAGGTTATAGGCGTGAGCTACCATGCCCGGCCTGTGGGATTCATATTTAAACGTAGGCTAAAATTTCCTGTGACAGCATCCATTGTAGACTAAAGAATATAGTATCTTGGAGCCTAGATGAAGATATCCTTTGGAAAACTGTCAAAAAATGTTTTGAAATTTATACATCTTTTCCTCTGAAGAAAAACCCATGCAGCACAGTGCAGCTGGAGCTTAAACAGAAAGAGTCTTATTGGCTTGAGATGTTGGGGGTGGAGTTTGGGACTGCTGGGGTAAGCTGGAAATTGAGAAAGGAGGGATTTATGTTAGGATAGCCCAACCATCTTTGGATAAACTCTCCTCAAATACCTAAATGTCCCCTGAACTGTGCATGGGAGAGCCCAAGGAGTTCAGTGGAAGGCAAACAGCTGGAAGGCAGAAAAGGCTGCATAGAGATATTAGTTGCTATCCTCTGCAGGGAAGACAGAATCTGGTGTGTGATTCCCAGCAAGGTAGAAGAACTTGGTAAACATTTTTGCTTTCCAGAGACCCACCTTAAAAGAGCAAAAAAACCAAGCTTCCTTTTTTTCTGTTTAAGCTCTGGCTCTACTGTGCTACATGGCTTTTCCTCAGAGGGAAAGATGTATTTAAAAAAAAAAAGCCTCCTCCACAAGTTCAAGTTGATTAGCCAGTGATTTAACTGTATAGTAAAAATCCTCACTCTTCAAGAGAAGTTAAGAGACCCCAGAGTATCTACAACATGTCCACAATATCCAGTTTATAATGAATAAGTAGTAGACATGTGAAACAGCAGGAAAATATGGCTCAGAAAAATAGGTAGCAGACCCCAGAATTAGCAGACAGATTTTAAAGCAGCTATAGTATTTTTAAGGACGTAAAGGGAAAAATATCATAACAACTAACAGATGGGTAATCTCAGCAGAGACGTGGAAACTATTAAAAAAGAACAAATAGCCGGGCTCGGTGGCTCAGCCTGTAATCCCGTGCCTTTGGGAGGCTGAGGTG